AGAGGGAGAGGGAGAAGCAGGCTCCCCGCTGAGCAGGAAGCCCGATGCGGGGCTCGATCCCAGGACACTGGGATCATGACCTGAGCCGAAGGCAGACGCTTAACCATCTGAGCCACCCAGGCGCCCCGGTAATATAACATTTAGATACTCTCAAGAATATTTTTAAAGGGAGATACCTTAACATTTATTACTACAGATAATAATATGGCCATAATGGTCTGTAACCCCTTGCCCACAATTCCAAAATCCAAAGCACTATAAAAGCTGAAATCTGGCTTCAGTTATAGTAAGGCTATTTATAGTTTTTATTTAGCCTACATAATGTGAATATTCATAGACTTTGCTGAGGAAGTACTAATCTGTTTGATTATAGACTCTGCAAGGATATTACACAATATGGCATAAATGCCATATTCTTTTTCTGAAAACTAGAAAATTCTGAAACATATCTGGGCTCTGGGATTTTAGATAAGAGTTTGTAGGCCTCTCATGTTGTACTGTATGGAGTTACCAAAATGCATGTTGTAGCCTGGGTATGAGTTTAGTTAAGTAGTTAGAAACAATTCTAGTTTTCTATACTGTATAGATTTGATACAGTCCCTTCCTTCTTTTTAAAATCAATTTATATATTACTTACTTATGAAGAACTTTCTAAAGTTGAGGCTTGCTTTGAACTATGAGTTTCTTTTAATGCCTACATTCTGGTAATAATAATAATGACTAAAATAAAATGGCAGAATTTAAAAGAGGAGTCCAGTGTTTTCTGGACCTTTTATACTACCTTCTATTAGAATATGCTGTATGCAAGAAAGCCCTTATTTATATTTTCAAATACTCCTTGTTATTTAGTTTAAATATTACATTATAGGCCACAAGTGACCTGGAACACTATGATAAGACTCGACATGAAGAATTTAAAAAATATGAAATGATGAAGGAACATGAAAGAAGAGAATATTTAAAAACACTGAATGAAGAAAAGAGAAAAGAAGAAGAATCTAAATTTGAAGAAATGAGGAAAAAGCATGAAAATCATCCCAAAGTTAATCATCCGGTAAGAATTATGACTTTAAGAAACCATAATTAGATGAAGATACTTCTTTGAGTATCAGAATTTTATCATAAGTTATTAGTACTTTAGAATCTTAATTCTGCATAGTTTCTCAAATTTGTGTTTTATTTTCAGTCTATATACATAGATTATATTTTGTTTTGAGCATTTTTTAAAAATTGATTCACAGGGAAGCAAAGATCAACTAAAAGAGGTATGGGAAGAGACTGATGGATTGGATCCTAATGACTTTGACCCCAAGACATTTTTCAAATTACATGGTAACAGATTTGATACAAATATTAATATTTATGTCTGCTGTTTGAAAGATTATAGTTGCTTTATTCTTAACTGGTTTTTGTCAAGGTCTGCTATTGAGTCCTATTGACACTAAATGTTTAGAATTTTTCTCTAGGGTAATAGAATAGTCTTTATTGCTGACCTGCAGCATAAAATACTTTAAGTCAGTAGCTGTGTCTTTTACCTGCTTTAACTGCTGACTCATTACGACTTACTGTAAGGTTCTCTGTAAACTGAAGGTATTTCTGTGACTAGCTAGGTTATATCTAGCACACTTTATGCTATAATACTAAAATTTACTTTTTTCCCTGTAGCGTATTGTTTCACTTTATATTTTTGAAAAAACTGGTTAAGATATATTTTTCTAAAAAAAAAAAACCTAGTATGAATTATAAATTAATAGTAAATTGTTACCAGTTGGACTGATGTGAGGCTTCATAAAAAAGGAGGAAACGTCTTTATTTAGCACATGGATGCTTCATGTTAGTATCACTTCTGCAAGGCAGTTGTGAAGAGTTGTAATTTATTTATTGATTTTCGAAGGCATTAAAATCAATTTTTGCATTTGTGACTTTTTAAACTTCAGATGTCAATAATGATGGCTTCCTGGATGAACAAGAATTAGAAGCCCTATTTACTAAAGAGGTAAATGAGTTCATTTAAGTGTTCAGCATTTTTGCTCTCTTTTTTCCTTCTATTATTTTCCTTCCTTTTATGTTCGTTTTAAACTTTTCTTTTTAGTTGGAGAAAGTATATGACCCCAAAAATGAGGAGGATGATATGGTAGAAATGGAGGAAGAACGGCTTAGAATGAGAGAACATGTAATGAATGAGGTATGTTTTAAAATTTTAAGATTATATGTTATTTCAATGGATTATTCAAGTTCTTGCAATAAATGTTACCATAAAGTGGAAAATAAATACACAAAGTAGTTATTTAATTGAATTTTGCATTTTTTGATCCAGAATATTCGGTAGACTCCCTTAGTGTAGATAAAATTATTTTGTAACTACTTTAAAATATTTTAAAATTTAAAAGGTTTTTATTTAAGAGATTAAGATGCTGTTGCATGTCTTTTAGAAGTAAAAGATAATGTAGTCCAAGATTTGATATTTTATTTTATTTTTTTTTTAAAGATTTTTCATTTATTTATTTGAGACAGAGAGAATGAGAGAGAGAGAGCACATGAGAGGAGGGAGGGTCAGAGGGAGAAGCAGGCTCCCCGCCGAGCAGGGAGCCCGATGCGGGACTCGATCCCGGGACTCCAGGATCATGACCCGAGCCGAAGGCAGTCGCTTAACCAACTGAGCCACCCAGGCGCCCCAAGATTTGATATTTTAAAAGGCTGTGTTTTTATTAAGAAAATCCAAAAAATCTAATACAGTAATGGTTTATAACAACGTATTTAGTTCTTGTTGACATTGTTAAGCTGAGAACTTTGGTCATAGACATCAGAGGCCAGTAACTAACACCCACTGTTTTGCGTCAGTGATTTTCTCCTGATATTTGAGCTATTGGTGATGAATTGGGATTTCTGTTGACTGCTGGCATCCCAAGTGTCAAATGAATGTCTTTGGCCATTATGGAGTTCACTTTTGCAACTGAATGGCTGTAAGAGCCACTGAAGAGGATTGGGAGTGGTTGTCAATTTTAATTTTGATTTATTAGTTGTTTTTAAGAAAAAATGTTGAGAGCATTTTAATGTAAACTCCTTTACTCTTGGCTAACACAGTCCTCTTTCTGGAAAGGTTATTTTTCTTGGGATTCCACATGGTGTGGTGAGGGAGGAAGACCATAATAGCCTAACCAGTCGGATCAGCAGACTCAAGCGTGATGATCTTTGAGTATCAGGAGTATAGATATCTCACTGTATTTTCAAATCTGAATAATCCAGAAGATAGCAGTATCTATTTTCTGATTCTACTATAATGTTGAGTGTTCTTTCTTCCTTCCAACCCTCCACCCCCGTTTCTGTGGATGTTAGGCTAGCCTTAATTGCTGTATACTTGTGTAGTACCATCCACACAAATATATAGCAATTGTCTAGAAGACAATTTCTAGTAATATGAGAGTTATTTTATTTTACATATACATTTTTTTTTTTAATCAGGTTGATGCTAACAAAGACCGATTAGTGACTCTAGACGAGTTTTTGAAAGCTACAGAAAAAAAGGAATTCTTGGAGCCAGATAGCTGGGAGGTAATAAAACCTACTTGAAATGGGATGTATGGTTCAAGAAATTCTACATCAGTTCATTCTACTTTTAACTTTTATTTCCCATTATGTTTGCATGTAGAGCCTTACTGTCTCGGCTTTTCAATAAAATGTCACTATAAAATAATTAACTTGATTTTTTGGAAAGCTTGTGTCAATTGACCTCTTATTTGTAATCATGTTACATATAATTAGAAGTCTTTTTAAAATTTTACTTTTTCTAGTGTTCATTCTTGAAAATTAGAAATATAGATACATTTAAAGAATAAATGAGAAGTTACCTATAATTCTACCATCCAGAGGTAGACACTTAATTTATGCATTGTATTATGACGATTTGGAAATAGTTTGTATCTTTAGTATATGTATATATAGCACACAATATAGAGTGTACTGTCCCATTTTTATTTTACTTATTTATTTATTTATTTATTTATGAGAGAGAGCAAATGAGGGGGAGGGGCTGAAGGAGAGGGAGAGAATCTTTTTTTTTTTTTTTAAAGATTTATTTATTCATTTGAGAGAGTGAGAATGAGAGAGAGTACATGAGAGGGGGGAGGGTCAGAGGGAGAAGCAGGCTCCTCGCCAAGCAGGGAGCCCGATGCGGGACTCGATCCTGGGACTCCAGGATCATG